ATTTGAATATTATAGGTGTGCTAACTCAGCAAAATAATCTAAAAGAGTTGAGTAGTCCATAATAGTATTGGGTCTTCCACTTCACTGGCAATGTCAGAAATTGTTGACCTGAGTCCCCCACAGCTCAACATAACAACATGGCTTTACTACTTATATTTCGTTTTTATACTTTTCTGCTGAATGGTTAAGACCAAGGTAAAGCAGGACCTATGCAACAAGAGTTGTAGCATTTGGGGCTGATAAGGTTAGTGAAATCACCTCAGGATTTATCCTGAGATCCTGTACCTCAGATTGTAGAACCTTTGTCAGTGTCAAGCCATGTGGATGAGTCACGGCCATTGCGTGGCCAGTGTCCTCTCTGTGAAAGCCTGAGAGAATGTTTTCTCTCCATGTGACTCTCCTTAGGCACACTCTATATCATCGATCACTTTCCTCTTTGGCCCCATAATCTCCTTGATTAGAAAATTTGGGACACTACTGAGTTACATGACGTTACAGTACAAGTTCTCATTTGTCCTGAGTCCTTGGAAGGCTAGGGTCAAAATGTTGGCTTTCCTTGCGGCCCTCCTTTTTCTCTAATTTTGATCTGCAAACTTAGGTTCTTAACCCTCCAAAAGAGAAGCTTATTGTTATTACCATACAGCCTAGGCTGTTAAGCTTATCCTCACTATCTGTCTGAATATCAGACATCTTAGGCATAACATGGAACAGGTATTTTTCATCAAGTATTGATATGTTGAACTTTGAGTCCCTACAAAATATGATGAAATCACATTTAAAAATTAGAGTATATTTTAAAAATAGGCATGAAGAATTATATACTTCTTATGTTTACACATAAGTCCAAAAATCTAACCATATACCACCTTGAAGCAGGACAATCCCACAATATTCCTTTTCCTATCTCTTGCCTTCATTCACCTCCGCCTTCTTTTTGAACAATCATCTACCCGAGAGACAGCAGAGCAGCAACTGGCATGTCATGACAAGCAGCCCGTATTCAGAAGACCAGAATGACAGGCACTTCAAGCATGAAACTACTATTACAGATTACCATCTTCAGTGCAGTTGCTTAGTTCACAGGTATCAGTATATGTAGTTAGTCAGAGGGAGAATCTTTCCAGTTAACTGCTAGATTCAAAAATGTTCTGGAGACTCTCAGGAATGCCTTGCCCATCTTCTACATATAACTTGACATTGTCATGTTTCCTAGCTCTTCTCCTTTCCCTCTTTTGATTAGTTAGTCCTCGAGATCCTGCTTTCCTTTTACTTGTATTATACGTTTCTATTAGTATTTCTTCTTTTGAGTTCTTATACTAGGGAAACTATATGATATTTATACATGTGTGTCTGGTTTATTCCACTTATGAGTATATGTTCAAGTGGCATCCACTTCAATATAAAGGATTCGAGTTTATCATTCTTTATAGCTGA